CTGAGCTAGGACTCCAAACCAGGTCTCCTAAGTCCAAGTCTAGCCTTCATAAAGTTGTATAATTTGTACCTGATAAAGACCTGAGAGAACCCAAACAGAATATAAGCCTCTTGAGGCAGGGGCTATATTTTATTTTAAAATTTGTGTTAGGTGGCCTAGCCCATATGGTAGGCGATTAATGAATGTCTACTGAATTGAAGATAACATACTTAACTTTTGTTCTTCATCTGGTTCATTTTCATAAGAATCTGTTTCTGTGGAAACAGTATTTTTATATTTTAGTTTTCACGAGTTTAGGACACTGATTAATTGTTGATAAGGTACTGACAGGACAAAAAGGGTAGGGATGAAAAACACTTCTTTGGAAGTATACTCAAACAATCAATTCATAAGCATTTACTAAGCACCTACTATATACCAGGAATTGTGCTAAGCAAACATATACAAAGATAAGAATGAAATTGTTCCTGCCTTCAAAGGGCTTATGTTCAAACAGTGGGGGCAAAACGAATGCATGTGTATATGTATATATGTCTATATATAGGGTTAAATATTTATAGCAACTTCTCTTGTGGTGGCAAAGAATTGGAAGCTGAAGGGACGCTCATCAATTGGGGAATGGCCAAACAAGCTACGGTATATGGAATACTATTGTGCTGTAAGAAATGATGAGCAGGATGAAAGACTTACATGAACTGATGCAAAGTGAAGTGAACAGAACCAGAACATTGTACACAGTAACAGCAATATTCTATGATGATTAACTGTGAATGACTTAGAAATACAAAGATCCAAGATAATTCCGAAGGACTCATGATGAGAAATGCTATCCATTTCCAGAGAAATAACTGATGGAATCTGTATACAGATTGAAGCATATTTTACTTTTTTTGTGCTTTTTTTTCCTTTGGGTGTGTTTTCCTTTATAACATGACTAATATGGAAATATTATGCATGACTGGACATGTCTAACATATCAAATTGCTTGCCTTCTTAATGAGGGGGCAGGGAATGGAGGGACGGAGGGAAGGAGAGAATTTGGAACTTGAAATCAGAAAAAAGTTAAAAACTGTTTTTACATGTAATTGGAAAAAGTTTTGTTTTTTTGTTTTTTTTTTAAGAAAGAAAGAGACCCACAATACATCATAGACAGACTTTAACTAATCTAATGTGTTGCTGTGGCCAAAGAGGTTGATAAAATATTAGAGTCTAAACAGAAAACATTATTACCTTTTGCAAAACCACAGAATCAGTCCTGGATCTGAGCGGCTGCTAAAATGAGTATACTAGTGGGTCTCGACCTTATACCAGAGTGTTCAAGAAAGGAGGACATTCATCAATTTGACCAGAGCAATACCATCCACCTATGCCTGATTTGCTCCTAGCTGCCCTGCTGTTCCTAGAACCTACTAATAAGGGCTGAATAAACCAATATTTTGGTTCTTCTACTCCTGGCAGTGTGGCCTTGAGTAAGCTTCTTGACCTCTTGGATGCTCTTAAAGGCAGCTAGGTGGTACAGTGTGTAGAGCTCCAAGCTGGGAATCAGGAAGACCTGAGTTCAAATATGATCTCACGTATTAGCTGTGTGACCCTGGTCAAGTCACTTAACTCTGTTTGTCTCAGTTCCTTATCTAGAAAATGAGCTGGAGAAAGAAAAGATACTCCAGTATCTTTGACAAGAGAAACCCAAATGGGGTCATGAAGTTGGACATGACTGAAATGACTGAACAACATGAACAAAAAAAGCACTGGTTCCTCTGCTCTCACTGTGATGACAAGTTGTTTCCATTGAAAGGATTCCTGTGACACCTGTACCTTAACCTTTGAGCTCTTCCCTTTTGCAAAAACTACCTGAGTGAGACACTGTCTACAAATAGGATATAAAGAAATAAGAAAGCTAGAGACAGTCCAGTAACATGATCAAAGGGGTAGAAAGACAAAATAATAATAATAATAATAAAGAACGCTAAAAGCTGAGGGGGCAGTGATGAGAGTCTATGAAAACATGGAAGAGAACAAACTAGGTGAATTTTTATTTACTCATCAAATCTTGACACCTTAGAATTAGTGAGCCATGCTTGAAATATCAAAGAGGCACTTTTATGATAAATAAAAGTACTAATTTATGCATCTTATCATAAACATGGACCTCATCACGCAAATACTACTGACAATGTCACATTTACAATGCACTTTAAGTTTTACAAAGCTATATCCTCACAACAACCTTGTAAGGTAGGTGGCACAAGTATCATTTTAGAGATGGGAAAACCAGAGATAAAGTGATTTTTCCGTAGTCCCATAGCTAAAAATGGTCATGGCTGGGACTTAAATCCAGATATTTTGATTCACAAGTCTGTTCCATTCCCTCCCCTTCTCCTTTAAAAGGGAACAGACGAGATGGAAAAAAAAAAACTTTAAAAAGTCTCAGATAAATTCAGGGATGAACGACAGTGTTGTGGCATAGTAGAGAAGGTTGGTCTTGGTGTTAGGGAGACCTAGGTTCTAATTCCACCTCTGACACGTACTAGTGGGGTGACAATGGGCAAGTCACTTAACTTTTTAGTGCCCTAGGAACTTTTTAAGACTACAAATTACAGATGAGTTGCTGATCTGCAACTAGTAAAGGGGATTTCTAAACCTTGAGTTCCCCACCTAAATAAAAAGCACACATCCGATTCCTTGATGATAGATCCACAATGGGTAATTAAGGAAAATCATGATATTTGGAGGAGGGTACCTTCTCGAAGGTGGTGACTTCTGAAGACAATAATGATCAAGCAATGCCCTCTTATGATTCCTTTGGGGAGATCAGAGACAGAATAGTTTTTTGATTTCCGGTACATCTATAAATTGATTCATGATATTCCATTTGCTTTTACATTAGAAAATTCTAAATATTAACTATACATTAACATTTGGATATATAGCTCAACATATTAAACCAAAGAGAAATTCTATTACACATGTAGGTATCTTTCATCTCTAATTCTAAATTATTCCTATTAAATGGCTTATTCTACTTTTTTGGGGGGCTAGGATAGGGACAGGGAAGACTGGGTCTCACTATTTTGCCTAGCCTGGAAGTGCAGTGGTTACTCATAGGCCCAATTCTATTAGTGATCCTGCTTCATTCCTAAACTGAATCAGTTTGCCCCCCCCTCAGACAGCCTGGTGGCCCCTCATTCCCAGGATTTCTGGCATTGGTGCAAGACTTAGTGCAGGCACTCAATTGGTTTGGGCCCTGTGGTCACTCAAAACACTCAAACTCAAGCAATCCACCAGCATCAACCCCCCCAAGTAGGTATTATAAGTATGTACCACCACTCCCTGTTTTTTATCCCCTAATATAACCCTTTATTTTTTCAATTAAAAACATTTATTTTCTCTCCTTCCCATTTCCCCGAAAAGAAGAAAACTGCTGTAACAATATGAAGTCAAGAAAAACAAATTGTATATCTCATTCTTCATCTTGAGTCTATCCCCTCTCCATCAGCAGGTGCATAGCATGCTTCATCATCCATCATCCATGATTCCTCTTGAATCATGGTTGGTTATTTCATTCATCATAATCCTGAAGTCTTCAAAGTTGTGTGTTATTTAATATGCTGTTATTGTAGAAATTGTTATCCTGGTTTTTCACATTTCACTCTGCGTCAATTCATGCAAGTCTTCCTAGATTTCTCTGAAATCATCCCTTTCATCATTTTTTATGGTACAATAGTATTCAACTATTCATGAATCAAACCCTATAGCTTAAATTCTAGCTCTTTCCCTGCTCGTTCCCACCTCCCCAATCCACACAATTGTTCGCTTTCCTTAATTTGACACTCTTAAAGGATCCTCTCTCTGACTGCTTGCTGGTTAGAAGGGAAAAGGTAAACATCCAGTTCTACATTCATTTCCCATTGTTCCTTGACTCTTTCTTAGATCTAGTATTTGTTCCCACTGATCTCCTCCCTTTTCAAGTGTATCCCTTATCAACCTTTAAGAAATGTTTCTATCCTGCAAAGTCTTGTATGAACTGAGGCAAAGTGAAATGAGCTGAATCAGGAAAATATTGCATACGGTATCAGCAACACTGTGTGATGATGAACTACAAATGACTCAGCTCTTCTCAGCAATACAATGATCCAAGACAAGTACAAATGACTCATGAAGGAAAATGCTATCCACATCCAGATAAAAAACCGATGGACTCTGAATGCAAATCGAAACATATTTCTTCTTCACTTATTCTTTCTTGTGGTTTTTGTTTTTATCTATTTCTTCTTTTACAACTGTGACTAATACGGAAATATTTTTTATATAATAGCACACTGCCTACCATTTTCAGAAGAGGGAAGGAGAAAAATTTGGAACCCAAAATCTTGTAAAAATGAATGCTACAAATTTTCTTCACATGTAACTGGGGAAAAATAAAATACTATTAAGGACAAAAAAAATGTTTCTGTTTAAGTGACCTGGTTCTCTTTTGGGGAAACATATCAATTAGACTTTCTAATTTCCAACTTAATAGCCTTGCCTGTAAGTTTCCTTTAGCAACAATTCAAAATGCAAAGTTACACAAGAGCAGAAAATTGTGTGGAAACTGAAGAGAACTTTTACTAACAAACTGTTAAAATAAAAGGGGGATGCTTTCACAATATAAATCAAGGCCACTGTGAAACAAATAATATACAAACTTTTATTCAAAGATAACAGCTCAAAAGGACAAATTTTGGTCATTTTTAAAGGGAGTTTGAGAATCTTCTTAGGAAAAAAAAATTGATCAACAAACATGGCCACACAGAGAATGTTCTCTCTTTGTTAATAGCAGCTAAATGTACACACATAGAAATTACTTGTTAAACCATGCAAATTCAGTTTAATTCTATACATTCATTATAGTCATCAACCTGCAGTTATGTTCATGCCATAGAGTCACTTTTTGAGAAAACAGAAAAAAAACCCCAATCACACCAAAACATAACCAAGATTAAATCAAAATAAGGCATAAATAAGCATGACTGATATTTTATTTCCAAATGTTTGGCATTACACTTATTCAAGTGTTTCATACCATTTCCATTCCTCAGAAGTGGCATTTGTAAGTGTTCAGCATTGTTAAATATCAAAAAATACAACTCTGTTTTATAATGTAGTATACTGGCAGAATTCAAAGTCCTGGGCCAATTATAAATAGTATAATCAAGTTTCAAACATTTTCAAAGGAAAGCAATCTACACACATATGTATATATGCACACAGCTTATTATATTCATTGAATCAAAGATGTTTTATAAAAGCAAACAGTTGATCTCCCTGCCAGTGGGTATTACTGATGTAAGCTTCTATACCCATTAAAAGATATACAGTTTGTGGAGATACCGATTTCCTGGGGAGGAAACAATAAAGACAAAATTTACTTTGACCAGAATGCACATCACTTTTTCCTTCTTCACAGAACAATCCGTAGTCATCTGTGTTTGATACTGACTAGTCCTTAGGAAAGCCATTTTTATCCAAAAACTTTATGATAATAAATACTGTGGTCCATATGTCTTGTTAAAAATTCAGTCAGCTGCTGCTCAATGCAGAAAACTCCTACACAGCGCTTCGACCTAGAATAATCTTCAGCATCTGATGCCTTTAATGGCAGACGAACTTCTACTGAGACCCAAAATGCAGCCATGAGTAGAGAAGTGTTAGACCCTAAGTCACTTCAAAAATACTTGTTGAAGCTTGTTTTGAGAGGATAAGTATGCAGAAATCCTTCTTCTGTTCATAATGGTTTATCAATAACTGTAACACCTAGTGGAAGAAACGAGAAAAAAAACTGAAGACGGGCAGCATTCTCAAACAATCCCAATTTCTTTAGAAATAATCAAAGAAAAAAGCATGAAAAAAGCAAAAAAAAAAAAAATCAAGACATTCATCAATTTCATTCTTGTAAAACTAGAGCAGAGAACCATCATTCCCCTATTCGATACAGGTTGTGGCTCCTATCACCTCCAGGATAGAATAGAAGATCCCCTATCTGGCATTAGAAGTCCTTCACAAGCTGTCCCTCTTCTATTATTCTTCTTCTTATGGTTTACTGTTCTCCATGTACTCTCTAATCCAGTGAAACTGGCCTTCTCAGTTCTTCACAAGACACTCCATTTCCAGACTCTGGGCATTTTCTCTAGTTGTGCCCCATGCATGGAATACTGTCCTTCCTTAAGTCTGCCTCTGGCCTTCTCTAGCTTCCTTTATGTCCCAGCTAATATCTCAACTTCTACAAGAAGCTTTTCCTGACTCTCTTGATTCTAGTGCCTTCTGTCTGTTGATAATCTCCAAGTTATCTTACATAGTCGTTTGCAGGTGGTCTTCCCTATGAGGGTAGGGACTGTCTTTTACCTTCCTTTGCATCTCCAACACTTAGGAAGTGTCTGGCACAGCAGGTACTTAATAAATACTCTCTGGCTGACTGACTTTTACTTGTATATAGATATCTGCACTTGGGGCGTGGGTCTCTAACTTAACCCATGATAAATCCAAATTATCCAGATAGACTTAGCAAGCCAAGTTATCATGGACTTCTACCACATAGACCATTATTCCATGGAGCTCTTTTTCTGGATACAGAACAGGACACAGTCAAAGGTCAATCAGCATGACTGCCATTCCCTATAGCTTGATGTACTTGCCATTTAATTTATTTTGAAGTGATGGTGCTTCTCTAATTAAACCAATTACAGATTTATCTCTTCAAAGGCAAATCATGTGTTGACATGCTTAATGACCCCATCAATGTAAAAAGTTCATTCCAATAACAATTCCATTTCAATAGTTGTAGAAGAATGTTAACTTCTTTTGGGAGGTAGAGAAATTCATCTTTTATTCAGTTCTAAACATTAGTTCAACTGTGCCTATTCTATTCTGTCCTTGTTTTTGCTACAGGATAAGATTAAGTCAGTTCTATTTTTTGCTATGTGTTTCATTGGATACAACCCTGTGAGGTAGGTGCTTTTATCATTTCCTATTTTACAGATAAGAAAACTGAGGTTGAGAGAGGTTAAGTAATTTGCCCATGGCTACATAGCTAGGAAAGGATAAGAGGTGGGTTACAAACTCAGGTCTTTTCTCACTCACCTGCACTCTTTCTACTATATCATGTTGACTAAACCCCTATGTCACTTCTGTGGTAGCAGGGAAGGAGGGAGGGGGAGAGAAAGGAAAGCAAGGAAACAATGGGAGGAGGTAAGGAAGGAAAGGATGGAAGGGGAGAGGGAAAGAAAAAGGGAGGAAGGAAGGAAGGAGGAAAGGAAAAGAAGGGAAAAGACAAGGGAAAGAAAAAGAAGAAGAGAAGCTAACAACAACAACCCTGGGGGTATTAATATATATGTCAAGAACTTTGAAAACCTTAAAGTGTTAGACAGCTGTCAGCAAAAGATAGAATTATTTCAGTATTAATTGACCAGTCACATCTAACCCCTATGTTTTGCCTTCATTTCTTCAGGACTTAGACAAGGCTCACCAAAAGTCAAACACCGTCTACTCTGTCTTGGATCCCTGGAAGATTAGGAAGTCTCTATTCCTTCCTCTGAAACAAACTGCCCCCAAGGTCAGCAGCTAACTGGCTGAGAACCAAACATGACTATAAGTTGCCTGTATTCTACAAGGACCTATGAGAAAAGGCTCATATTCAGAAGTCCATTTACTCCATAGAAACACACTTCTTTGTGAACCAAATGATGCTTCCCTCTGCTCAGCCTTGTAACTTATGTGTAGGATAAAGCTTTTTATTGACTTAGGCTAAATTTTGATAAAATGTTTAGTTTTGCTATGACACTTCATATTGATTGCACATACCCAGTTTTTCTGGTATATCAGGAGTCAAAACGTGAAAAGATTTTGGATGCTGATTACCAAGGACAACTGAATTAGTAGAAGATAGGATATTCAGATTTTGTTTGCTTTTTGGTCTAGATGGGTGATTTCACCGGTACAGAAGAATTCCAATGCAGATCAGCATCTTCTCTGAAACAGAATCTCAGAAGGTTGTCTGAAGTCATGGTTAGTTAAGTGCCTTGTACTGGGTCATAAAACCAGCATGTGGTAAAGGCAGAACTTTACCCTAAGTCTTTCTGACTCTGAGGTCAGTTCTCTATTTATTGCACAGAAAGTTCACATGTTGTTATCATTATATTTAAATTACATGAAATGCAATTTGAAGAAAGCTTCTTTAGATTTCAATATGTAAAAAGTCCAATCACTGAGCGGTACTGCAGGCTGAAAATAGGACTTGGAGTCAGGAAGATCTGAGTCTAACTCCTACCTCATACACTTACCAGCTGTGTGGCCCTAGGCAAAGAAGTCACTTGACCTCACTCAGCCTTAGTTTCCTCATCTGTAAAATGGGGGCAAAAACATGCTCTCCATCATGGAATTAATTGAGAGGATCAAATGAGATAACATATGTAAAGTGCTTTTCAAACCTTAAAGTGCTATATAAATGCCAGTTATCATCATCATCATCATCATCATCATCATCATCTTAACAGAATAGAATATTCTTAGAATAGAATAGAAAGAAAGAGGACAATCATTACCTGCATAACTTCTCCCTGTGCTCATACAAGATGACACCACTGTCCATTTATCCGTTGTTGGGTTATAATACTCCACTGATGCCAAGTTACAGGAACCATCATCACCTCCAACTACATACAATAGGCCATTAACAGCACAAACACCTTTAAAAATGAGGGGGTGAAAAAAAGAGTTAAGACATTTAGGTGAGGTGATGGGATAATCTGTTTCCCTGGAGAAAAGCAAGTTTAGAAAATGAATGACCTCAGAGTCCTTTTTATATGTGGGAGACTTTACTTCTTCTAAAAAAATAAAGAGTATATGAGTTGTCAGCTTGTTATAACATCTAAGGGCAGTTTGATTTTTCTTACGTTCATCCTTCATTTTTGAAGAGGACCAAGGACATCACAGGTGATCTCTTGATTTATGCATGACCTGGATTTAAGTGAGATAGAGTTGCACAAAGTCGTCAGCCTCGCCCTCCCTTCCAGGGTCATAGAAGTTCTGTGACAGAACAAAAGTCAGGACGACTGGAGATCATCTGGCATGCAGTGGATGATCTTGGAGTCTTCAATGTCTGACCAAACTCTGAGCACTCCACAGCGTCTGCTTCAGCTGCCTTCATGACCACTGGAACAAATTATTCTCATATGCCCATTCTGCGGTGGGAAGTCTGCACATGCTTGGGGTAGACATTCTTCTAACTCACCAACAGGTGTAAGTTACCCCCAACTTGGTTTAGCTTGTTTGCTGAGATTGTTTTATCCAGGTGTGGCTACTGAATATGCTACAGCTTCTTGGAGCTACAGGTGAGAGTTGGGTGACAAGTGAACACCTAAGGTGGATGAACAGCCCTGAAAAGCGCTTAGCAAGCCCTCCCATCAGAGGTGCTAGTCCTTCCTGAACACACCACACTCTGCCATAGGATGTATAAAATATCTGGAAGTTCACTTACCAAGATATACACCAAAACTATGTGAATACAATTACAAAATCATTTACAAAAATAAAGGAAGACAAATAATTGGAAAGGAATCTCAATAAAAGAGGCATGAGTTTTCACGGAGGAAGGAAGCACTTGAACCTTACTCTCATTGAAATTGGCTCAAAAAGGGAATAACATACACACTCAGTTGGGTCTATCTTATCCCACAGGGCAGTAGGAGGGGACTGGGAAGAGAAGTGGGCAGGACTGACAGAAGAGAGGGTAGATTGGGGGAGGAAATAGTCAGAAGCAAAATACTTTTGATGATGGACAGGGTGAAAAGAGAGAGGAGGATAAATGGGGGTGGAGAGAGAAATAAGGATGGAGGGATATACACATTAATCATAACTTGAAAAAATGTTTACAGCAAGTTTCTTTGATAAAGGCCTCATTTTTCAAATATATAGAGAACTGAGTCAAATGTATAAGAATACAAGTTATGCTCCAATTGATAAATGGTCAAGAGTATTAATAGGCAGTGTTCAGATGAAGCAATAAAAGCTATCTATAGTCATATGAAAAAAAGGTTTGAATCACTATTGATTAGAGAAATGCAAATGAAAACAACTTAGGGGTACTACCCCACACATATTAGACTGGCTAATATGACAGAAAAGGAAAATGATAAATGTTGGAGAGGATATGGAAAAACTGGGACACGACTGCATTATTGGCAGAGTTGTGAAATGATCCAACCATTATGGAGAGCAATTTGGAACTATGATCAAAGGGCTATAAAATTGTGCATACCTTTTGACCCAGCAATACCACTACCAAGTCTGTATCCCAAAGAAATAAAAAAGAAAAAGGAAAAGGACTTATATGTACAAAAATATTTATAGCAGCTCTTTTAGGGGTGGCAAAAAACTGGAAATTGAGGGGATGGCTCATCCTCCATCAATTGGGGAATGGATGAACAAGTTGTGCTATATAATTGTGATAGAATACTATTGTGCTGCAAGAAATGATGAGCAGGATGCTTTCAGAAAAGCCTAGAAAGACTTACATGAACTGATGCAAAGTAAAATGAGCAGAACCAGGAGAATATTGTACACAGTGACAGCATCATTGTACAATGATCAACTGTGAATGACTTAGCTATTCTGAGAATACAATGATCCAAGACAAAACTGAAGGACTTTATGGATCCTAAGAACTGCTATTTGTATCACATTGAGAGAAAACAAAAGGAACAAATGGTCCAACTTGGGTGATCTTGATTAATTACATCAAGAGGAATAGCAAGTCAAGGGTCAGGAGTATGTATATAAATATGCTGACAAATTCAACATCCATGCTATCCAATGGCCTTAGCATGATGTAGTTTATGAACTACCTGGCTATGCATTCCAATAATGATATTATTTAAAACCCATTCATTCTTAGATAAAGAAATAATTCCCTGTGACGGCGCCAAAGAGTTTTCCATATAAGTATAATTAGTCCAAGAAAATATTCCTGTCGTAAAGTTAGAATTTAGCTACCAAACAATTCCTGTTCTATTACAGCTATTAGTGGTGTTGGAGTAGATGGGAATTTTAAGTCTTTCTCTTACACCAGCACAGATAAGCCTTCTTTGGAACACAACTACATATGATATAGTTAAAAAGTTTCTGTTCTGCAATGACTTTGTCTCTACCATGGTCATCAATTTCTCTCTTTGTCCTACATACAGAGCTGGCTTCCTTGTGACTGAGGCCAACAGTATTTAAATCACATATATGTTGTATGCTATTTTTAGGGACAGGTCCACGCCTAAAGACAAGGAGTAACAAAATAAACACGCCAACATAACAGGGATTATAATGCCAAAATGTTTTGCCATCTCTTTTAAATCTTTGGGTAGACTCCACAGGTGGACAGGGCCCAAGTTCTTTTACATTTTCATAATCCCTATGACGAAATATCTCTTCCCAAGAGCTTCAACAAGATTTTTACATTCTGATTTCTCCATTTCATTATCACTTTTATCTGTTTCTTTGTATTCATCTGTCCCACTTTCAAAATGTTTCTTCTGTTACAGAAAAGCACTTATCTAATTGGTTAAAATTAGTAAGGACTACATTGAATTGAGACCACTAAAATACATGTATATATATATATAATTAATTTATTTTTAACTTTCACTTCAACATTAACTTCCATAAGATTTTGAGTTTTCAATTTTCTCTCCCTCCCTAAAGATGGCGTGCAATCTGATAAAGGCTCTACTTATACATTCATATTGAGCATATTTTCACATTAGTCATGATGTAAAGAAGAATTAGAACTAATAGATGGAACCATGATAATGAAGAAACAAAACATACTCTTTGCTCTTTTTTTCTTCTTCTGTTTTGTTTTGTTTCTTCTTTCTTATGGTTCCTCTATTGGTTCTAATTCTTCTTTACAACATGACTAATATGAAAATCTGTTTAATAGGAATGTATATGTAGAGCCTATGTCAGATTGTATGCCATCTTGGGGAGGGAGGAAGGTAGGGAGATGGAGAACTATGGAATCTGGAAGCATACTATTTGCTCTCCTTTTCTTTTGTTTTTTTTTCTTCTCTGATATAAAGGATAGTTCTCTAGAAGACTGAGGGGAAAGGAATCAATGAGAAAGAGAGGTGATATAAAAACAAAAATAGCAATAAAAATTATTTTAAAACAAAAATCCAGTTAATGCCTTCCCCTGTGAAACCAACTGTGTCCCACTAAGTTCTCTCATTCTTGAGATTATATACTCTCCCATTCCCCATCATAATCAACCAATCAATAAAAATTTATTAAGTTTCTACAATGTACCATATACTGTGCTAAGTGCTGGGAATACAAAAAGAGGCAAAAGAAAATGATTGTGATGGAATACTACTGTGCTATAAGAAATGATGAGCTCGATGATCTTAGAAAAACATGGAAAGACTTGCATGAAATAATGAAGAGAGAAGTAGAAGCAAGAGAACATTGTACTGTACACAGTCACAGTAATACTGTTTTAAAGACAACTTTGAGTGAATAAGTCATTTTGACTATTATGAATACCCAAATTAACTACAAAGAACATATGAAGACTCTATCTGCATGCAGATAAAGAACTAATAAATAGAAGTATGTATAGAATGATTTTACATATATATGCTTATTTGTGTCTAATGGTAGCTATCTCTAGGGTGGAGGGGGGGAAAGGAAGAAAAAAAGAAAAAGAAATTTACATGATAACTTTATTATATATTTAAAAGGATTAGCAAGTTGTACATAATAGATTTGCAATCATCTATTTTTTAAAAATTATACTATGTTATAGAAATGTTAGTTCTATTCCATAAATTAAAAATTTAAAAAAAAAAAGTTCCTGCCCTCAAGAAGTTTACAATCTAAAGGAAGTCACTGGGATTATACTAGCTGTTCATTTCAGACTATGGAAGATGGTAAATATAGGCATCAGAATAATGGAAAATAGTTTTTCTGAGAAGAAAATAGTTTGTCTCCTGGGGCTGTTAATGCTTCAACATTTCAAGGATCTATGATGTCATGGGCGTGGGCGCTCCCCTCCACCAGGCTATCAAATGAAAACAAATGAGTAATCCACAGTAAATCCTCCTGACAAGAGTGACTCATGAAAATCCTTTTATCTACAGAGTATTTTCATGTACTTAATGTCACAGAAAAGGGGAAAAAAACAGACTGATACATGCCCTGATGCTTCACATAAACAAACGGCCCATTTATTGCCATACAAATTCAAAGTCTGAATCTGTTCCTGTTTTAACTCCCCACACTCTCCACCGGGGCTATCCAAAGGTAGGGCAAAGCTTTCTTACAATAGCCATCATTCAGCCCATAACCTGGGAGCTGGAAGGTACCTCTGAGGCCACTCCATACGTAAATAAGAATTCCAGCCTCAGCTTGAAGACCTAATGTAAAAGGGGAAACCCATCCTCTACTATGGTGGCCTATTTCACTTTGGGAGAGAGACAATGATTAGGAATTTGCTTCTGACATCAAACCAAAATCTGCCTCTTTTTCACTTTGCTACTTTGAGATCAAGGGGAAAAAAGTCAATTACTGCTTCCACATGACAAATATTTGCTGGCAGCTGCTAATATATTCTCTCTAGGTCTTATGTCTTCTTGGCTTCAAGGTCCTTCAATCAATCTTATATGTCATACTTTCTACTGCTTTCACTACTCTGGTCAAT